TAGATGCATTAATTATTCGAGCAACATCACCTGATAAGAAAGGTTAAATATTGTTAATTAATTTTTGTTTATGTAAAATAAAATTTTTCTTTAGATTTTGTTTATCAAGAAGCATTTTTAACAACATATCGTACATTTGTATCTCCAAGTGATTTAGTTGATAAACTTATTCAACGTTATATATTTTTTTCACAATTTGAAATAAAGAAAAGAATTGCTCGATATGCATTTTCGCTTCTTATGCGTGTTATCGATGAAATTGAGTAAAAAACAAAAATTAATTTCATTTAATTTTTTATAAAACACATTTTGATTTCTTTCATTTAGTAATGAATTAACTGAAAATTTAATGAAATCTCTCTCAGGTTTTGTTACAAAGCTAATACGTCATGGTGAACTTCAATTAGGAAAACTATTACGAAGAAAATCAATTGAACGTTTTAATAAATTTCAAATAACTAATGAACATTTACAACAAGATATTGTTCTTATACAAAGTTCTATATCATCCAAACGAGCAACATTACTTGATTTTCATTCAACTGATATAAGTGAACAATTAACATTACTTGATTCAGAATTATTTCTTAAAATTCAATTATCAGAAATCTTATATATGTCTATAGAACAAGGTGAAGAATATTCACCAAATTTAGCTGCATTTACAGAACATTTTAATAATATATCTTATTGGTAATGATTCATAAATCAATTAAAAAATAAAAAAAGAATTTGTTTTTTAATATTTGTAGGGTACGATCTCGAATACTTGAACAAAATTCTCAACGACAACGTGAAATTTATTTTGAAAAATTTCTTAAAATATTAAAGGTAACTTTTGAGAAGAAAACAAGAACCTTATGAAAAAACACTAAATCTTGATTGATAGTTCTTTAAATGAAAATTCTTTCGGTTATCAAATAGCACATAGTTTACTCTTTTGAACGGGAAGTCTTCGATTTGCTCCTACTTGATGATTCCACAGTATGTTCCAATATAGAAAGAGAATGGTATGAAAAATAAAGAATAATCAGGTTTAAGCCGAATTGTTATTTTGAGTCTGCTTAACCAATGACCATTCGAAGATGAATTTTTAAATGACTAACCATGAAGATAAATGAAGACTTCTGATCTCGTTCTATTTTGATGAATCATGAATGAACTGGAAAGGGACTAAGTAGAAGGTTAACACTTTTAAGCTGCTACGTATAATATGATGTCAAACTTGATAGTAGAATGAGTCGACAATATTCGAAGTCACTTATTCCGATGATGACACTAGAAATCTGCTTTTGATATTATTCCAAAAAAAAGCTTAAAATCAAAATTAATGAAAACATTTAGTTAAGATAATTTTCTTTGATACTTGTATTTAAAAGAGGTAGGTTCATTTTGTCATTATTAGTCTATTTCATCGTATCATGATCTAAGCATCTAAATTTATTGTTTCATAATATAAAACATATTAGAACTAAACTAGAACAAAATAGTAGTACAGAAATTCTCATGTTAACCATTTGTTTCAAATTCTATACTTATGACGTTTAAATGACTATTGAGATTTGTAGTAAAATCCCAGAAAAAAGTTAGTCTTAGAATTATATTGTTGCATTTTGTAAATGATTTGTTCATCTAGCATTTACGACGATTAAATAATTTCAATTCATATTTGGCTATTCTCTCAGCTCTTGATTGTGGTCCATTAAAACGATTAAATTGGTCGAAGAGTATTATTGATGTAAGAAATTTCTTCTTGTATATTTTCTGAATTTTAATCTATTTAATTTAGTCTATATCTGAACATACTGGACTTATTGATAGTACTGGTTCATTTAAAAATTATCGTGAAGCATTAAATGCATCAGTTGGTCAACCATGTATTCCTTATATGTAAGTAATTAATAGAATAATATTTTAAAAATGATTCTTTTTTTGTTTTTGTCGTTTTAAGTGGATTGATTCTATCTGATTTAACATTTGTTCATATTGGTAATTCAGATTATTTACAAGATAGTCGATTAATTAATTTTTGGAAACGATGGCAACAATTTACTATCTTACATAAACTTCGTTATTGTCGTAAATGGTTTGTTTTTCATGATTAAAGAAAAATTAAATAATTTTAATCTTTTAGGGAATATAAATTTACCCGTAATGATCGCATATTGTATTTTTTTAACAATTTTGATGATTATATGAATGAAGATGCTCAATGGATACAATCAGAAAAAATTAAACCAAGACAAAAAACGAATCCTTATGCATGATAATCGGGTTTTGATAATAATATAATCATTATGTGTATATGTCAGATATTTTTTTTTCTTTAAGTTCTCTTGTTTTTATTACACAGTGACAATGAAAACAAAATGAAATTCAAATAAATAATTTGCTTTATTGTTTGTGTATTTAGACCTTTGAGTTTTCTTTTCTCTCTCAGATTGATCCTTTATATCATAATCTGTAAACACATGCTTCCTGACGTTGTTGTTGTTGTTGTTTTTTTAACATTTTATTGAAATTAGAAAATAATAAAATAAAACCTTTTTGTTTTCTTTTAATCAGATTATGTTTTATGATATCATTGAAATTAATTAATTTATGTACTGAAAGATTATTATTGAAAAAGTTTTTTTGTTTAACAATTCATCGATTTGATGTATGTGTTTGAAGAATTGAAAGACTTATAAAGAAATTTTTAATTTATTTTATAGCAGGAAAAAACGATGTCAAAAAATTTACTTGAAGAATATAAAAAAAAACGTGATTTTAAAAAGACTCGTGAACCAAAACCAGCATATGATGATAAGAATACGAATGAATATCGATTTGTTGTTCAAGAACATCATGCTTCGATACTTCATTTTGATTTTCGACTTGAATATAATGGTGTTATGAAAAGGTAGATTTAACATTCAACAAAAACCAAATAATTTCTTTTGTCTTTTATTATTTTTTTAAATTTTTTTTCTAGTTGGTAGGTATACAGATATGTAAAAATAATTAGAAAAAATATTTATCATTAAAATAATCTTAAACAGGTCCATACCAAAAGGTCCAAGTCTTAATCCTCGTGATAAACGTTTAGCAATTATGGTAGAAGATCATCCAATACCATATATGAATTTTGAAGGGAAAATACCAGAAGGAGAATATGGTGCAGGTTGTATTTCGTTTGAAAATATTTAAATCTATGTGTTCCCGTCTTTTTTTTTTGTTTCTTGCGATAGGTGAAGTACGAACATGGGATATAGGAACCTATGAACCTTTGCATAATAATGATATCGACACAGGACTAGAACAAGGAAAATTAACATTTAGACTTCATGGAAAAAAATTAAAGGGTGAATTTCATATGATTCGATCACGATTTGGATCCAAACAACGAGCAAATCAATGGCTCTTAATAAAAAAGAAAGATGAATTTGCAAATGAACATTTTGTACTTGAACGTATACTTGATTATGGCTCACGACGAGATTTACAATCACCAACTGCAACTACTAACAACAAAAAACGACAACGACAATCGACAACAAAATCACCTAAACGAGAAGCAAAAAAACGTTAATAATTTTGAACTGAATTTATTAATCAAGCTTAATTTCATTTTCCGAATAATATTCTAGTCAAGTTAAATATTGAAATATTATTTCTATTCGATGTCAAACATTTAAATTTGCCTTCAAATTGATCATTTGAATTTGTTGTTGCCATTTTCATTGTGTCGATGAATAAATATCATCGACAGATAGAAATGAAAAGGAGAGAACAATTTCGAAAAAACCTTAGGAATGATCAATAGACCTAAATATATGCTTTTTCTAATAGTAATAGTTTAGCAGAAAATTTTCTTCTGACTTTTCTAATATACAATTCGAAAACAGGACTTGAATAAATTCTCATCTTTTATTATTTTTCCGTAAAACTATAATAATATAAAGTTATTTAAAAACAAAGTTGTCAAGTTAATATAAAACAAGCACTAACTAATGATTGAAAAATCTCATGTTTTTAAGATGCATTATGGTTTTTCTCTCTTATTGACGAATAAAACATGTAAATATGACTAGTATTTCAAGCTCGATAACAAATCATTCAGCAAGTAACCGGAGCTGATTTTCATCGAACAAAAGATAAAATGAATATTTTGGTACGTAAATTCATCATATTTTTAACGTTTCATTACCAAAGCAATCTCCACATAATTTTATCAATTCAACCATGTTGACAGTACTTCATCAATAAAAAAACAAAATCTTATTCTTTGTTTTTTTTTTTCTTATATATTTAAACGTGTACACTTTTCCTTAATGTATATTTGGCAATAAGGATAAGAGAGGAAATACTCAAAAGCAAGCACGACAATTGAGAAACAAACAAAGAAAAATTCAAAGATGAGAGATGTCAAACAGTAAAGAGAAGAAAAACAAACAAGCAAAATTGTTAACAGATCTATGTACGAAAAGAGAAAAAAATGAAATATGATTTTCTACTAGACGTGCATAATTGAAAGAAACATTTTGTACATACCAAAAAAAACAAAGAAAAAAAAAAGATTCCATATTCAATCTAAGATATTTATACATCATGTCAATCCCAATTAGTAAAAATATTGCATTAACAACAACAACAACAAATAAGAACAATACATTTGAGACATTTGACAAATAACAAAAAAAAAAATGAAAAACAAGAATCGTACAATGTATTGCTGGCTCATCAATACGAGATTGCACAGAGAAAAAAACGAGATGTATTATATGCACAATCAGAAAACACAGAAAAAATACTGTCTTGTTCTATCTCAATATTCATTTATAGTTGCACATCATCATCATGTTTACAGAAAAAAAATACAGGTAAATACTAAAAAAAACAAAAAGAAAAAAAGTTGTATTGGTCATGTATGTATATGAGACAAAAAGAAACAAGGGTAAAGATAAAGGCACCGATAAGCAAGCCATAGCTGCAAAATCATAAAACATGAACAATTTTATTCATTGTTGCCAATAAGATGGTGGTATTGATTGATGCATTTGTTCCATAAAACTAGGTCCATCAATGGATGAAGATTCAGTGGGTAACAACATTGAACCTTGTGATGTCATTAAATTCATATTTCCATTGTGATCTTCAGATTTTTCTTCAGCACGTCGACGTAAACATGCAGCTTTTGGATTTAAATTGCGTTCTAACAAAAAAAAGCGTTTTGTTTTTTCCAAACCAAAAATTTTCTTTTTACCTCGAACTTGTTGTTCAAGTGATGTTATTAAATTAACTGCTTGTTGAAGTACGCCTAGTTTAGTAACTGGCTTATCATTTCGCATATGAATTGAACACATACGACCGAGTTCTTTAAATGCATCATTTATATCTCTTACACGTAATCTATAGATCAATAAGACAAATAAATTTTTTTCAAAAGAATAATTTATTTTTTGCATACCTTTCTCGTGCATTATTTGCTGCTCTTCGATCTTTTTCTCGTCGTTCACGTTCTTCAGGTGTTTCATCAGGATCAATAATACTACCTTCTGATGCTGGTCCACCACGCATATATGATAAATTTATATGACTATTTGGACTTAATGTTAATGAACTTAAATTGAAAAAAAAATTAATTTTTTATTCAAAAAAAAATGCTTTTTTTTAAATTACTTTCGTAATTTTGTTGATGATGAGGATGATGTTGGACCAATATGTGTTCCATTTGGATCCCCAACTGCAATTGTTAATGGTGTTGCATTCTCTTGTGTTATTTCATGTCGAAGATTGAATTCATTTAATTTTTCTGTTGTTAATTGTGATGTACCATTTGTTGTTGATGGTGATTTATTCTCAACATCATTTTTAACTTTATCAAGAGATTCAAGTTTTAAATCAGAATTTAATGATGTTATATTAGCATCATTTGATGATGTCGATGACGATGCAGATGGAGGGTTACCATCTGAAAAAGAAAGACGAATTATTCGATAGAATAATTTTTTTTTTTTTTTTTTGTTTTGTTACTTACATGGTAAATAGGGATCATGAAGTCGATTTCGTGTTGATGTATCCGATGTTGTTGGATGATTTAAAAATGCTGAATATGCTCCAGTGGAATGTGGATGATGATAACCAGTATAATAATGATGATAATCAGTTTGTCGAAAAGAATCATCAACATCTAATCTTGGGGGCTAAAAGAAATTTTGAGTAGTTTAGTTTTTTACTATTCTATCTTGCATTAATTTAAAAATTTAAGAAAACAAATTATAAAGAAATATATGTATATTCCCGTTCCCCAGATTAAACAAAAATAAAAGAGACAAACCTCGTTTAAATTGAGTAAATAATAGGAGTCATCAGATAGATCAATTAAAGATGTCTGACGTTAGAGTTTAAAAAATTTTATATTAGTTTATAATGTCTTTGATTTAGTTAATAGTTCACCAAAAAATTAATACTTACAAGATGATGATATGTTTGCGTTGCATTTATCCATGCTTGACTAGATCCTAATAAATACAAGATAAAAGCATATTGAACAGAAAAATAATTTTTTTGTTATTATTTCTATTCAACATACCATTTACTGGTGGTGATTCAACAGGTGTTGATGATGTTGAAGAATAGGGATGTTCGCTAGGATAAATCTAGAAAGATTTACTTTTTTTTTTCTTTTCACTGATTATAATTTTTATTTGATTTCATACTGATTGTAATGCTTTGCCGAGTGTTTCTCCAGTTTGTACTGTTTGATCATTGCCATTACTCGTATATGTTGTTGGTTGTTGAGGTCGAAAACTTGCCATCGATGGTAAACATGTTCCATTGGCATCATATGTACCATGATTATTAGGAAGGTCATTCGGTATATAATTTGATGTTGGTCCTAACCATGGATTACCATTTTGACTGTCTAATAAAAAAAAAAATAATGATGAAAAAACTCTTGTTTTGTTTTTTTTTTAGTTTTACATACCAACATAATAAGCGGATTCATTTCCATAGACTGATTTTCCTGTTGGATATCGACCAGGATTTTCTGGATTATAATCCTCCGAAGTATAAACCTAATATAAAAGGCGAAGAAAACAGTGATTGTATAAGAGATCGACAACAAATGTCTCTAACATATTAACATCTAACTTATTTTGATTGATCTCATGTGCAAATACTTTATAATAAATCCCACAAGTACTTTCTTCATTACATATACATATATATATATATATATATATAGATTCCATACCAACTAAATCAATTCAAATTATTTTTCTCAAGCAATGCTTGATTATTATCTTTCCTTCCAATGGACGCATAGAATAATACACATTTGCCAATAGTAAACATCGTTCTATAAATATATACAGAACGAAGTTTTGATAATGACCTCATAAAAGGGAAAAATGTGCGGTATACGTTTGCTCATCACTAAAATCAACAGTCAGAGATTGACGACGTATCAGTTCATATAAAAAAAAACTTCGATCACCCACTGATTTCTATGTTGGCTAATCAAGAGAAAAAGGTTCGTTTGTTTGTGCTCACTCGACACGAGATCAAAGGACGTGCGATCGCAATTCATGCTGACATTCAGATCGACTTCATTGGGTAAACGTAAATGTATTGATTAGCATTATCTTTCTCTTTTTTCTTCTCGATTTGATCAATTGCCATTAAAGAAAAAAATCACACAAATCTTTATCTTCGAGGTGACAACTTTAATCCAAAAGATCTTTTCGTTTCTTAAGATCATTCAAAAGACAACAAAAAAAAAACGAAGCCAAATACCTGATATGATGGTCGTGAATAGTAGAACATGTGTTATGTATATTGAGAAAAAGAAGATTATTTCATCACAGTTTGTTGTGTCAAAAAAAAATATTTTAATTGACTTCTAATTATTGTGTCAAACAAACTCGTTTATATTCAGTAGACGTATGCCATTACTTCATAAGACAGAAAAAGAGAAAAAGTGATATACATCGAAAAAGAGAAAAAAAACGAGCGAGTCGATCGTTGTAGGAGACCTTTCAGTGGAACAGCAAGATATCCTTATCTTACGATGTGTTAACTAGAGGCGGGCATACGGACAGGAAAGAGAGAAATGAGACGCATACACACATACAAAAAAAAAAATTATCACATCTCTCTCTTGCTTTCGCTTTCTTCCTCTTTTTTTTTATTTGCAGCGGAAGACACAGCAAAAAAAAAGAGAGAGAGAGAGAAAGAGACAAAGAAAGAAGGTAAAATAATAAATGTAAAGACAAAAGCTTGTATCTCGAACAGGAATCGGGCTCGTTCGGGCGAATGAATAAATCCAGTAACTACAGATAAACAACTGTATTCTAAGCAATAATGAAGATCTTTTCTTATATTAATTTTGCTTATTCCTTAAGCTATATATCTCATTAGACTTTTTTTTTTAATATATATATATATACATGTTTATATCGACGAACAATTATACAAGCTTGTTTCTTCTGTTGTATATACATACACATCCAAAAGTCGATTAACGCATATCTTATTTTCTCTTTTTTTTACTCATTTATCATTGTCGGAAACAAGCAATCGTAACAATCGAATATCTATTATCATATCTCACGACAAGAGAAAACGTTTATTACATTGTTTGTCCTTTTTTTACATTCAGCGCTAAATGCATATATAATGTTTACAGAGAGAAAAAGCTCACAGCGCAGCTGGAAAGCTCGTTCGTGTGCCATCGAATGTAGATAAACACGACTATTAATTTTATCACATATACAAGTTCGGTCAGTCAATGCATATAATCATATCTATATATATATATATAGACGAAATGAATTTCTTATTGTTTCTCTTCAGAATTCATGTTACTCTCTTATCCAGCTGATGCACAAACTAAAAAATGATGTCACAAGTGAACCGTGAGTTTCTTTCTTTGCAATTTTGCAAAAAATCGCCACGATTTCTTCATCAAGTAAATTAACAAAGTTGTCTGCTGACACAAAAAAAGATGTCGTTATGTCAGAAACAGCGACAGCAAATAATTATATCAATTACTCACACGTCAACATTCAATGTCACAAATAAAGATATATACATATTTACAAGAAAAAAAGAAAATCTTTTTTTTTTTACCAAATATGGTTCATAATGAAGCAAGGTCATTGCTAGTATTGTCTTCAACGATGCCCGACGAATGTATATGTATGTGTTCGATGATCAATAAGGCACCACTATGACTCTCATTCTTTTTTTTTTCTCTTTTCTTTTCTCTCTACTTTTGGGTGCGTTCAATTCGGACGAGCGAATTTTTTTAAAATGAGAATGGCAAAGAATGAGCGATGTATGTGTTCGCTTGATCTTATCCAGATCGTTCACATGTATAAGAAAAGCAATAAATATCTAATTCGTCACTAATTTAAGTAAATGTTTAAATAATTATAAAGAGTGGTAAAACGTTTTTTTTTTTATGACAGTCAAAAAAAAAAAACACAAAGTCACCACTTACATTTGTCGATCGACGTGTTTTCTCATTAAGTTTTTCTATAAATAAAGAAAAATTATGATAAAATATAAGTGGAAACAAAGAAAATTTCCTACCGGAATATGTCAAATCATTGGTTGATGTACGGGATGTCTAGAATAAAAATATTTGACATATTTTCATTTTCTGAAGAAAAATTATCATACTGAGTTTGATGAAGAAAATTCATTAGATTGATCTAAGAAAAAAAAATTTAATTAATACATGTTTTTCTTTGTCATTGAATCATACTCAATGGTTCTGATGTTATAAATGGATGAAGAATATCACGATTACTATAATTCCCATCATAAATCTATAATTGAATATTGTATCAAGAACTTTCATTTTTCTAATTATACAAACCGGTTCGTCATATGTTGTTGATGATGTCCAATAATCTAAAAAAAAGTTTTTTGAAATTTATTTCGAATGAACAAATTAATAAAATCAAACTTTTAGTTGAACTAGTACTATTTGTTGTATAGATTGATTCAGTATTTATTGAAGGTGGTGGAACATGAGTTCCAGTTCGATAAGCAGCTGTTGAACACAACATCTAAATAGAAATCACAGAGTTTAATTTAAAAAAAAAAACTTTTCCTTTTTTTTTTTTTGGAATTAAAACATGCAAGTAATAAATACATTAAAATAAATGTACCGGAAGAGGAAGTCGAGATAATGATGATGGTGTACTGATAGCACTATTTGAAAAACGCGCTTGATGTTTTACCTGAGAGAATTAATAAAAAAAAAAAAAAAAATCTTTTTTTTTCGCTTGCTTTGTATTTGAAAAATATGAGATAGAAAAGTATTAAACACTTACCGCATTGAGATCAAGGAGATCATTGAGTTCTTTATCATTATCTAAATTCATTTCTTTTTTACTCAAAATCTGAAAAACGATATTTTATAAATTTAGTTATCAATATCTATTTGATCATTGATTGAAACAAACAATAAATAAACTAACTAATAGAAACAATACTTATTCGAGAAAAGAGACGAACTAAACAAAGAAGGATAGGGGGCAGTATCAATCGATTAGATATTCATGAGGAAGTTAAAATATGAATTATGAAAGCTATTAATTTAATTTGAACATCTATTGCATTTGTTTTTGCTTGAATACATATATTAGAATACTTTATTCGCGTGCTTGAATAGTTATTATGTCTCTATTTGAATTAAATTATAGCTTAAAACAAATTGGATGAATATCAAAGTTATTATTTTCTTTCTTTAGATTAAAAGACTTTTTACTTCTAATTTGTTTGTTTCTTGGCGCGATAATATGATTATTATCGAATGACTTGATGACAGTGCAAAGGCTTTATATGAAAGAAAAATCTATTTCCGTTGCCTGTTCATTATAAGAAATATAATTTTGATAAATTAGCAAAGTACAATTAAATGTGTCGACTTTTTCTTGATTCATTGTATGGAAAACTATTTTGATTTGATGCTCGGTAAGCAATGTTCAATCGTCAGTTTATATTTTTTGCTTGAATTCCTTCATTTATTTGATTGTTTTCTTTTTTGATTAATTGACTGTTCTTATACAATAACTTTGACACCATTTGAAAAATTGATCAATCTTAAACTGTGTCAATTTAAGAAAGAGTTTATTGCAATTCGTGTACCTCTATTTTTGGCAACATATAATTTCTATTAATGAATGCAATTGAGAAGCAGAGAGTGAAGACTAAGAACTGTTTGACACAAATGTGATCAACTTTTTTTAACTTTTGAGTTCATTAGATGATACTGAACAATGTAGAATAGATATTATCAATAATATAGCATGCCATGATGCTTGACAACAAAGCTTTGTCGGCAAATGTCAATGAATTTAAATATTAGAGAATCATGATACTCAACATATTCAAGTAAAGTTTTCAACATATTGATAATTCATTTAATAGCATCAATATTTGATGCTATTCTCGAGTTTTTATTAAAATATCAAGCAACATTTTTTGAATAACTTTCAATTGTTTATAGTTATCGAAGTCAGATTTTCGTCATTACATAAAACAATTTTGGAGATGCCTTTCTCTATAAGATTCAATATGTTTGAAGATGTTCTTTGTTGATATATTCAGATAGACATCTTTTCCTTTGGTCATTTTTACAATTTTTCTTATCAATCTTAGCTCATATTCAGCAGCGTAACCAGAATTTTTAGACCAATGGGCAAACTTCTCTTATGTCGGAAAAAAACGATAAGCAAAATGGGCAAGATTTTTATTAGTAGGCCAAAAATCTTTTGGCTCAAAAAAGTACTAATAACGTAAAAAAACAAATGAATTGAGATTCTTTTAATCAAATATGCATCAAACTCAGATCTTAAGCCTGAGTCAAGTGTGTTTTAGTCTATTTTTAATGTCTCTGTTTATAACATTTATATTTCAAAATCAAACACCAAAATTCCTGCGAACTAGATCATTTTTCATCTCGTTTTTTTCCTTTCTCTTGCATACGCCACTCTCTCTATATATATCTTCACGTATATGTTTGTGTGTGTTCTCTTGCTCTGCGTTCTTGTTTCTTTTCTCTTGGATTTATCCTTCTCTACCTTTACATGGTTAGTATTTTTCCGATAAAATCGAACTCACATTCACCCAAACATACAGTTAAGATACAAGTAGCAATTCTTTTCCGCTTCTTTTCTTAATTCTTCACAGAAAGAACAAGCAAAAAGTGCATGTGTGATTCTGACAGAAGAAAAAAAATACAGATACTATCTAATTCAAAAACAAATAAAACAATTCTGAAAAAGTAAAATTTCAAAGGGCAAATCTTCAAACGAAATGGGCAATTGCTCATTCCCCCTCTCCCTCTTGGTTACGCCGCTGCTCATATTATACTAAAATGTAACCCAAAGAGAGCCGTATTTCTCATAAAATTCCAAGACTCTAGAACACTTCTCTCGAAGCATGAATCAATTTTTTATGGAAACCAATGGAGGATTATGTGCTGATTAGTACTAGATAGAATTTATTTCATATGATGAAACTTTCCTATTCATTTTTGATCAAACTCGAGTATATTTTCTATGGAAAAAACGTCATTTTTGGGTATCATTCAATAAGGCTCTGCTGACAGACGATTCTACAAGTCAATTTATTGAAAGATCGAATCCTGTCAAAGTCATGGTTTTTGTGGAAGGTCTTCTCAGCGATAGCGTCTATCTAAGGAGTTCAGTCTTTTACCAAAGTAAGTACTCAATGAAATCACTCTATAGCCAAAATTTCAGCTTTCTAACATGATTCATCCATGAAATATGTGTATGTACAAAACATCGATAAATGACCATTTTGTCGTGTACCTGGTAGTACTACTGATCGTCTCATCCATAGTTCATACATTTGAAAATCATTTTTATGATAAGTACATCAACTTGAGATGTATGCGCAGTAAAAATTTCAAGCCGAACGGATGTATTTTTTGTTGAGGTATAAATGTCACCAAAAGTTATGAAAACTGTGCTTTTTGACTATAGTGCTCTTGGAGAAATTTTTAATATGTCGACAACGAAACAATATTTTTTCAAATGGCTTGCGTTAATATTCATAAACCTTTGATTTCTACAAGAATACTTCAACTTGAGCAAAACCTGATGATCACGACTCGACAGCTTGTCTTGAATTGGATCCTAATTTTACTCAAATTGTCTCATATGTACACCAGAAAAGATTTTTGCTTGGGTTAAAAGTAAAAGACCAAAGTTTTAATATGGTTGCTAATAGTTATTGATTAGTAGTACTCGATCTCAGAGCGATAGCCCATAAGTCAGTCAAAAGCGATAGAAATCTTGGTCATAAGATAGAGGATATATCTAGGACCTATATAATTGACAAAATTTCATGACTAAAAACATTGTCGTTAAAAAATGGCAAAATATACAATGAATGAGTACTGCATTCGTTATCGTCATTTCTTATCTGAGGTGCCTCTATTATGATTCCATTATCTCAACAGGAGAAAGGTTTTAGAAGAAAAAATATTTGATGTTTTCACATCTGCCTTGAAGCTACATATATGTTCAAAGTTTCATTGAAATCCGTAATATCAGTTGAACACGTGGTCCGTATTTCGTTCGTTTCTTTCGTGCAATGGCTCCTGGTAAAACCATGATCCAAAAAAACAATCGCGATTTTCACCTATCTTGCATAACCACATTATTCAGGGCGTTTATTCGCTATTCCAAAACCGCTTGTTACCGTGGTTTACAGCAGTGCTATTTAAGAACGTTTTTCCATATGTACAGCATGAGCTATGATCGTATGCGATTCAAGATATTTTACTTGATATTTATTTTATCTTATTCTATTTAAACTAAGGTATGAAATGTGCTTGAATCGCCGAGATTAGTCTTTGCGTGAAGATTGTAAAAAAAAGACAAAGTTTGTTATGTTTTTTTAAATTTGTGGATCTATGATTATTCTCATTTAAATATCCATTGATTTTTCTCGAAACGAGAAAACTATACATAGATCCGATTCAATAAATGGTAAAAAAGAATAAATGAACGTATTAAAAATGATTGTATTACGTTTGTTGAAACCATTTGCAAATTACTTTATTGATCGTTTTTCAAGAAAAAAAGACAAGATCGTAGGAGAAAGAAAAAACAACGAAAGAGTTAATATTCAATGTATACTCTTCTTCGAATGTCATTAAAAAGTAGTATTTTATTTTGTTTAAAGAACTTATTTCATATAATTTCTTAAGATGAATTATTTTTCCCAATGTTTTGAACGTAGCAAATCATGCAAATGAACTGGTGATAATGAAGGAAGAAAATTCTAGAAACGCTAAAAATATTTTCATTAGTAATATATTGAATTATTTTTTAATTCTTACAGTTTTTACTTACAATGAATGAAATTGACTGATATGATTCAACTGTATGAAAAAGATAATTTAGTTAAATGAATCCAATGTTTCAGATGATATTTTTAAAATACAATGAATTCAATGTTTTCCTTATTAATATTGGAATTTTTCAATTTTGAAACATGTTTAAAACGCATTAGACAATTATATACGGAGAGTATTTTTTCATCTGGATTTAGAAAAGAAGATACTATTTATTTGAAAAAGAAAGAAATGCATCAAATCAACGAGTGCCATTTTTCCATCAAATTTTAATAAATTAAAATTATCATTAATTTAAATTTAAAAATGAATGATAATTATAATAATTCAAAACTTTAAAGTTAAAATTATTTTAAATTCAACTTACGCATAGCTTTTATTAGAACTAAATATTCTTGGCATCTCTAGATATAATGTACCAGAACATCAGACTTTATTATCAATCATCAGAATTTCATGTGTCTTATCCATTAGCACAGCATGCTTGATTCATGCGCTTCATTGTGACCCGAATGCAACAATCAAATAGTAGTTAAACATTTTCCGTTTTGTATATCTATAATATATTAACTTCCATTTATTTATTTTTGTTTTGTACTGCACATGTTTTTTTCAAACATGGATATAAATAAGAAGGATGAACACATGCAATAGATATAGATAAATAAATATTTTAAAAAATGCAATTAATCAGCTTTTTAAATTGAGGTAACGACGAAAAAATTATTCAAAAATGAACAGCTTTCAGTTCCTTATTATCTGAAATGTTCATTGTTATTTAATCAATGGTGACGAGTTAGAATTGTCTCTTTCAACAGTCCAGTTTTTTCTTTTTCAAGCTTAATTGCATCTTCAAACCTTTTTTGTTGTATGTGTCATGCATCAATTATCATCTGTTGTTGTTCGTTTGAGATCCTTAGTTCTTGACTTGAATTTTTCAATTCATTTATCAACACCATTTGCGTTGAAACAATTTTTTTCAACCGTTCTGTTTGTGCTACTGAACGTCCAGTTGCTGGTGATTTATTCTGCAAAAATAAACAATAATCACTTAGTGCGCGACAAAAGTTTCGCCCTTATTGAAATGAGTATATTATTTTATTTTGATAGCGAGGTTTTGAATGCAACATATAAATACACAGAATATTTAGAGAAATAAACTATGAACATTAAAGTTTTTAGCTACTTGCTTCTTTTTTAGATTAAGTAGAAGTATATGAAATGTCCTTTTAGATGGCTTTTTGTTAGATGAGATCATTTGTTTGATCGAGTCCTACTTTCAGGTCTCCCTCAAACAAGTTTGCTATGCTTTTCCGCCTGTTTGTTAAGGCAATTGCGCCAATTATAATCAGGCACATTGAATTCAAATGAATGAGATGGTCAATCTGATAAGAGAAATTGAACGACGTCATGAGACTTGATTTTTTTCCTTTGAACACATTATTGTGTAGACAGAAGCAACATCTATCCCGTTTTATTGAAATAATGGACAAAAGGAAAGAGTCAACCGATAAAAATGAATACCAAAGAGTACATGCGTTTTTTACACATGATTTCAAGTTGAAGTCTATGTTTCGCTGAATCATTTTTATAACCTCTGAAGAAATTTATTTCATAATAAATTCGATTTTAACTTCTCATGAGCTAAGGTTTATAATAGACGTATTAATTTTGTTCTTGATTATCCTCCATGTGCCCAATAGTGACTACATGGTCGATTGTTTGCCTTTGTGCGTGTAATTCGCGGAGTGATCATAAAACTTTTGAAACATATTTGACTCACTAGTAGGTATTTTCATCAATTAATACTACACAAAAACCTCAAAAGATCTATATTGACTATGAGTACAGAGCATTTCGTTTCAAAACTTTTGATTTTTTTCAGTCTTTCAAAATTATAGATTTCGCAGGCTCGATATTTCAAAGACGGAGCAATCGAAAGCAATATTTTTTTTTACCGAAAGGTAGTCTATAAAGTTTAACATAACAAGTGTTCCTATCGTTTTTAAATCGGAGGCTTCCTTTTTTTTTCTATAATGTTTCAAAAAATGGCAATTCTAGTTGCCAATGAGAGAAGGGGGGAAGGATTAATTATTTAATGAATCCTAAGGATAATAATGACAGAACACAGAAATTGAATATGAGTAATGAGTTGCCAGAGAACGCTATGTACTATAACATTGCCAAGTTTTTCTGCCTTCTAGTTGTATGCGAAATGAACGAGTTCCTATAGAGGCAAAACTTTTGTTGCACACATGATGAGGGCTTATCGCCTTATCAAAATTTAAGTGTAGTTTGAATGAAAAGTCATATTATTTTATAAATTTACTGTGCTGATGTACAATTCATTTGAATTTGAAAATGAGAAAGAAGGACAATCAGTTTAAAAATGACAAACAAAGATACAGTGGATGAATGAAATTTATTTGTATTCAATTGACTATTCATCCATGTGATTGTAAATATAAAATGTACTCGTGTCAATAGACGTAGACAGGTGCAACGGTACCATCTATGCATTGTAAAAAAATGTAAAGGCAAGATATCGCTTAAGCATTATGACATACATTAGAAAACAGCGTCCATTGGTTCATTTACAGATAGTCTATCGTGCTTGCGACACAGCAGTATTATTTAAATGTGTTTGAAATACCTATACAGAAAACAACGGGAAATGTATTCTCTGTTTTTTTATAAATAAGGTATAAAAATAAAAGTACATACTATTACTTACCATAAGTAACCAGGCGCTGGTAGAAAGTAATGCGAAGACAACAGAAAGATGATCAAGAGACAACGAAAAAAGATGAAAGATTGACAAAAGGACATCATATACAAAAAATAGCCAACAGATCATTATACATGTAAAGAATCTTCATTAAAAAGGTATTGATCCTGAGATAACTTTAAATAATGAAACAAAAACATCTGAAATAATTCAACAAATTGTTTGTGCAGCAAAAAAGACGATAATTATCACTATTACAACCCGATTTCTTTAATCATCATTAAGTACAGCAAAGGAACAACAAACATCAAAACCAATGAATACAACGACGGGTGTAGGTATAGTACTGTAGATGAAGAGAAGATTCACTCCCTACACCCACATGTTCAGATCATCTTGACTTTTGACTTTCGAGTTGTGACGTGAAAGTTTGCAACAACTAATCTTCTTAATGGAAGTTGTTCATTGTAAAAGTTTTAGCTTTTTCCACTTCCTCTCTTTGAAGATATGAATGTAAGCACAAAAATTGCTTTTTCACATAACAAAACTTCCAACATTCGTATCGCCCAACAGAAACAACGAAAAAATTTGTAATTTTTACAATATATTAGTCCTATGGAGAACAAACTTTCAAGTCAAAAGAAAGAATTCAAGATAACCTGCAGAGAACTACGAAGTTTTGTCGAAAAACTCAATGAGAAATTTATTCCTCAGAACTCTTATGAGTAAAAATTCGAAGTGTGGCATTAGAATTACTATTAGCATTAACCATCAAGCTTAATTCTGAAACATTATTGGCATTAGAATTAATTAATGCTTTGATGTTAGTATTAAATTAGCACTATTTTTAAATCTAATATATCTATTGCATGCAACTTTTGAGTAACTACCTGAGCATGTTGCCTGGACATGCTGCTTCTAACTTTTTGACTACTACCTTGTCATCATATCTGAAGTTTTTTTGAAACTACTTCAATATAATGCATCTTATCTTCTGATGGACTGTCGTTTCTTGAATAAATTGTTTAGCTCATTGGGACCATGAAAAGTCCTAGCATGTGATCTAGAATACTTCATTAGTTTTATAATGAAAAATATGCATGGTTTATCAAACCTATGAAAGTATGCATTTGTATATAAGATAGCAGTAATGCAAATTTATAGCGGATTTTATTTTTAGCTCAAACACACATCTATAGTTGGAATTTGTTGCTTTTTATTTCGAATATATAAATTTTATACGATTTGACACGGTTTGCATGAAAAAAAATACAAAATATTGAGACGATGTCAAATCGTGTGAAACACGTCTTCTTGTAGGAGAGCAATCCACAACTTTTCACCGTTCTAGTTGTCAGTATCAGCAGTTTTATTTTGTGCGATTCATCATATAAAAATCACTCTAGAAATATAGTCTTAAGACTTTGTCGTAACTTACATAGAGATTCTAAGACTCCATAATTTCGGGAACTTTTACCAATGGTATACTAAATGATTTTCCTAGTCTATCAATTTTCTGTGCATAAGAGAAAATCTTTATTTGTATGCCATTCGAATCGCCATTTTATAGGTAACCAAAATATGAATTGCTTCTTCAGAAATTCTTTTCATTGTTGTGAAAATTTTTTGGTTTCAAATTATGAGGCGAAAAAGTCGAAATTCTGCTGGTAATCCTGAATTTTCTCTCTCAGAATTCAACTTCTTCGTAATGAAAACATTATATTCATAATTAGCATAGAAAATTGAAAGAATTCAGGTTTGATCAAAAGTTTTAATTCATGCATATTGCTCCTGTGAAAATCTTGATTTTTCAACATACAAATTCGAAAAACAAAGTAGTGCCATAACATAGGAAAGCATTTCGACCATCTCAATTTTCGATGTTAATTGTGTATGTGATATTTTCGTTACGAAAAAGTTGAGTTCTCAGAGAAAATTCAGGCTTACAAGCGGAATTGCGACTTTTTAGACGCGGATGTGAGCGTGGGTATCAATGAAGATAAATACCACATTCACAAACCCATGGCTATAATAACACTCATCTATATCGAAAAATAATAAAATGCAAGTGTTCTTTAAAAAACAATTAACTCTTTTCTCAGATTATTCCTTTTTTATCAATTGACTCGTATTTTTTCTTTTCTCAATGACTAAAGCAGAAAAAGCGAAAGGTCATGATGAGAAAGAAGAATATAAGAAATAACAAGTAATTTTTTTTTCTTTCTGTATTTTTCCCCCAAATCAAATAAATGAGACAGAACGGCGAGATGCCGTCCATTTTTCTTTTTTTGGAGTGAAAATGAAAGCAAGAAAGAGAAAAAAAGAAAGAAACAGAACAGAGCGCGGTCACATTTTTTTTTTTTGAACGAGTTTTCATTCTCTTTTTATTCAGGTAAATAATGTCGCTTACTGAAGAACGTATTAATGAAATGAAAGAAATCTTTTCGATGGTTGATGATGATGGTGATGGCTCAATAACACGTTCAGAACTGGCTATGTGTCTTCGAGCTATGCAATATTCTATTAGTAATCGTGAAATAAATGATTTAATGAAGAAATTTGATTCTGATAAAACAGGTCATATTAATTTTCCTCAATTGTTACAAATAATTGCTGCTACGGAACAACCAAATTTAACAAAACAAACTCAAACAATTCTTTCTGCTCTAAAATTATTTGATACACAAAATGATGGTAAAAAAAATTTCATCATTCTGTATTTACTAGATGTTTTTTTTTTTATTCTTTGTCTATTCACATAGAAACCATATCTGAAAACGATTTTCGTTTTTTAATGCAACAAACAGGTGAACAATTACCAAAAGATTCTGTTGATGATATGATTAAAGCAACTGATGCTCGAACAAAAAATGGTCGTATTCAATATCGTAAACTTGTATCAACGCTTATTCATTTATAAAAAGAAAAAATATCATTTATTTATTATACAAGAGAAACAAACGAAAAAAGAACACATATCTGACTAGAGAACTATTATTTAATCTCATTTGTTAATTGAAGAATTTTATTTGAATTTCCACCATTTTGCAAATATTCAATTTGCAAATTAATAATATGATAACGCAATTGTACTATGGTTTTTTCATATTCTTTTAATTTTGTTTTGAGTTTTGTATTATTATCATGTAAATCATTATTATATATTTTCCATTCATCTAAAAGAATACGGTAACGTTGATCATAAGTATTTTTCAATTGTTCAATTTGTTTTTGATGTTCATCGATTAAAAGAATTTGTTGTTGATTTTGTTTAGCTATCTTGAAATAAAATCAATAGAAAAAAAAACAAGAGATTATTTTCATATTAAAATATTTTAAATATAATACTTGATCATAAAGTCGATGAATTTCATCATTATATTTTCGTTTTGTTTCGTCAAATTGTTGAAGATTTAAAGATGTTTTTTCACGTTGACGATGTTCATGCTCACGTTTTACTATGTATTGACTACATTTATCATGAGCACGAGTTAATTCTTCGATTTTTTGTTCAAACATACGTCGTTCATCATTGGGTAACTAATTTTTTAATAATAAAATGAGTAAATAATTTACAATAATTATAGATTGAGTCACAGACAATTTTATTATTTGTTTTCGAAATGTTTAATAGACTTCGAAAAACTCTTTTCTTATGAAGGAAAAGGTCCAGCTTTCCCATGAGTTCGATTTCATATTATCAGTAGATGTACTACACTTCAATAAGACTAAACAAAATTCCAAATGGATTCTGATTCAAAGAGAAAGCATCAGTTTGGTCTGAAATACCAAACATGTGGTCGAAAGGCGTTTTAATTTTTCTTGGCTTTATTGAGCTTGACTTTGATTGATAATACGAAGTTCTGCTTCTCACGACAGTTAGGTCAATTTATATATGCAATCAAAATAGTACAGATAAAGAGTAGAAAGAAAAGTTTACATTCGATGTAATTGATTATTTTTAATAACACGTTTTTCTAACTGCTCGTCAAGAAAACATTATATTGGAAGAAACTGAAAATTATCCTAGAATATGATTCATCGTTCGGAAAGGTCGAATGCTTTCAAACAACAATGTTATTTCTATGTTAACATAACACATGATTCAATGACGTTACCTTGAATTGAACTTTTGCTTTTCTAAAGATCATCGATAACATACTCATAAGTGACATTATCTAGTTAGTCTCCGTTTGTTCTTCCTAGATTAATATATCATCCAAAGCTGCGAATTAATTTTTGCCCTTTGGTGTTTATATGGAAGAGTAATATGAGATTGATCATTGTTCAATATCATCACAGAACTCTTTTCTCTTAATAATAATTTTTATGCCTGAAAAAGTTCACAAATTATCACCATTACAGTTTGTTTCTTTCTTTTTAGAGGCATTTATAACACCTTGTTTTAATATGTAATACAACTAATGTGTAGTCATCTGATATATACTATACTGTGTATTTTTTCTGTAATGACGATCTTTCTGATTGAGAACAAAACTTCTGAATTTTAATTGAATGCTTCGCAGGTGAAAAGAAATAGAATAAACATATCTCATTTGATCTAGATTATCCGTGGACGCATATTTTTCTGAGATCAGTTACATTATTAGTAATAAAAAACAGTTTGAAAAAAAAACTCAATATTTTATTAGAATGGATCTTAATATGTTGTTCCATTGACGAAAAAAACAAGCCTTATAACATTTTAGTTTGGCTACATGAATATTAATCATTACCATATACATGATTTAATGAATTCGCAACTTTATTATATGCTCTCGACTTGTTACATACCTACATCACATGCACGTGTACGATAAATTTAAAGACCTGTATCTGTAAACACTATTTTGGTTATTATGGTATATGTGATCCAGCAAAGTCCCAAGATGCATTCAAACGACTTGAACGACCAAAAAGAATGAGAACAGGTTCATCTTAGTAATTGCATTTCTTATATATGTAAACTTTTTCCTATCCTTGATATCCTTGATTTAATTATTCTTGTTTTCAAGATTTTAAATAAACTAGACGATATATAGTGCATATAAAAAATGATATATACTGGATCAAACTGATTTTCACTACTATTAAATTGTAATTTTTTCTTACGAGAAGGTTCCTAACTGACCCAAGCCATTTTCAATGGTATTTTGTCTATACGTCGGAGACATTATTCGAAGAAAAATTCGAAAAGAATCAGGACTGATGATGCTTTTTTCGAAAGTGATAACCATTTTACTCTTTTTTTTTGGTCTGGTATATGATATTTACAGTAATATTGAAAAGCAGAACTTCGCATATATATACAGTTCTCGTGACCACAAGAACAGTCTAAACGTTTCACTACAAGAAAAATTTTCGTTTTTTTTTATGTTGAATAGTTAAGAAACTCAATTTTTCGGCATTTTATATATTAGGCGGCAATCCTTGGGAATCAATAAATACGTCGAGAAGAAAGCATTTTTCTCAAATAAAACTTTTAGAGTATTCTTGATGACCACAAGGACTATATACGACTGAAATTCTACTCTTCAACCTTGCTGTATATACTTGGTGGTAGATCGAAAATCTGTAACATGGTCATAACTTTCGAAAGAAGTCCCATCAATACAAATTCTCTTGGGATTTTTTCTAGAATACTATCTCTGACGTATAGACAAAGTACCATTGGAAATGGCTTGGATTATTTGAAGGTCTTCGATTGTTAGTTGAGCAGAGCTTAGAGACTAAATTGTCTCATAATTCGTTTACCTGTTGTGTCTGAAGTGTCTTTAATATTTCTTCATATTCTGAAATTATTTTAGTCTAAATGAAACAAATAAATGTAGGATATACGAAGTAAAAGTATTTATTTACTTTTTCTGTAATAAATTCTTCTTGTTTCGATGCAATTAAGGAACGAACAATTTGTTTATTTTTTTCTAGAACTTGTTCATATTGAGAAATATATTCATTTTCAATTTGTTCAATTTTCTTTTTGTAATCATTTTCTTTTTCAACTAAAGCTTTTTTAACTTGTTCCTTAAATGTAATAACTTTTGTTTGAAAACTTTCAATCATTTGTTGTTTTAAATCTGGTAATTCAATTTTTAATTTATTTAATTCATTTAAATGTTGATCACGTTCAGATAAAACTTTATTTAATTTTTCATTTGATATATTTGTTGTTAATAATGATAAACGATCATTCATTTCTTGTTTTAAATTATTTAAATCAAATTTTAAACTATTTATTTCTATTTGTTTACTATTCAATTTTAATTTATAATCATCAAGTTCATTTTGTAATTGTTTTATTTTTTTATCATCATCAATAAAATCCTAACAAAAACAAATGATACATTAAAAAATTAGTAAAACGGATGATCACAAAAGTTTTGCGTCAGTTTTGTTTTCAATAGGTGTGATAAAAATTTATCGTGAAGACTTAATATCTTTTTTTAGAAAGAGTAAAGACATGTCAAAAATATTTCGTTCAAAATACTTACCAAAGGATGAAAAGTTTTATGAACATGTTTGACTGGAAAAATGCTTGGCAACTTCATGCAAACTTAGGTATGAGAAGTATATTTAATCGATTTGTCTTGCATTCGGCTCTCAAAATTTTTAGGCACCTGTTGTGTGTGAGTGCAACCAATGCAAGACAGAATTACTAGCGGTATTAAATTACTCGAGTTACAAAAACCATACGTTCCATGGAAAAGTAGTTTTATATTAAAAACTTGATTTATCTTCGACAATGCCCAATGAAATTTTATTTTGTTTTATATAATATGCTTTTGTTGAAGACTCATTAAACTCGGATTGAACATAAAACATGAGGTTTTACTAACATTGATTGCTGGAAGAAAATCTTCTTTTTCAAAATCACTTATGACTTGTGAACACTTCGCTAACGAATGCCAGTTTTGAAATCAGCTGATAAGTTGAAAATATTATTTTTTATCTGACAAAAAAACAGAAAATCAGACGAACTTTCTTAGAGAATGGAGATTTTCTTCTAAATTCCCAAAATGTACAGAGAACTTTTTCAGTCAAATAGATTCTTCAAACTTTTTAGTCTTCGGTAAGTATTTTGAATAAAATATTTTTACATAGTTTTGCTCTTTCTAACAAGAAAACAATGAAGTCTCTATCACAAAATATTGTTATACTATACTGAAAAGAAAATTAATGCAAAATTTTTGCATCACGCGTTAAAATAAGACAATTCACTGTTTGAAGTTTGATACAAGTCATCGTTGGACGTTTGGATAATTCTTTAATATGTTTTTCATATTGAATCTTTTCAGTAGAGAAGAATTGTTCACGTTCATTATAATGAGTTTGTAATAAATTTAATTGATTCGATATTCGTGTCAATTCATCCACTAATTGAATATTTTGTTTCGTTAATATTTCTATTTGTTGTTCAGTTTCATTATTAGTTTCCTAAGAAATAGAAAAATAAATTATGATTGAAAATATTCGAAAAACTAATTTTAATGATTAAATTAGAGAAAATCATCTTAAATTTTTTCATTCCGTATGATAATACCAAAGCAAATTGTCTATAACTTGATCCATAAGAATCCAGGTTGAATGATACGATCTGTATACGGCCATTCACGACCAATGTACGATACGTAAACAGATGCTTTATTGAAACAATTCTGCAATCAATAATACAGTGATATCGTAATAAAATTATGGCTCATGTGTAGACGTATACGGTGCTATATTAGTTGTCCACAGATTTACGACAAAATGCGGTCCGATTACGTGTCGTGCTGGACTATTAGCAACCGTAAATGGCAAAGTTACCATGAAAATACAGATAAGTGTATCAATTGATATGAAAAAGAAACTTCTATTGAAATTTTTTTGTTTTGCTTATAAAAGAATTCAAATACAATCTCTTACCGTTTGTGTAAGAACATTTATCATTAATGGTTTTTTATTTAATTTTAATAATTGTTCATATTCTGTTTGTATTTTATCTAATTTTTCTTGAAGATTTTGTTCATTTAAACGAATATCATTAATTTGTTCATCAACATGACATTTCTCATCATATATTGTTTCATACATTTGTTTTAATGTTAACATTTCAATTTGTTGTTCACTTGTTTTATTTATTAATTGTTCAATTTTCGTTTCATATTCAAGACGAAGTGAAAAAAATTTTTGTTCATGTTTTTCATTTAACTCATTCATTTTATGTTCATATTCCAATGTATTTTGTCGATAAATTTCTTCATTTGCAGCATATTCAGTTATACGATGACGCAAAGTTTCATTGTCTTGTTGAAGACGAACATTATCTTCTGATTGCGGTACATGTTCAATTGTTGAACTAAAAGAAACAAAAAACTAATAGATTAAATTAAAACATAAAAAATAAAAAGAATACATTTGAACAGGTAATTGTACATCATCGTCATCATCATCATCAAATGCATGCTCATCATTGTCTGTATTTGATAATGATTGACTATCAAATGCATTAGCAAGCATTTGTTGAATTTCTTCCTGATTTTCAAATTCTTCTTCACATGTTGATAGATCATGTTGATGTTCATTTATTACATTTGCAATATCAGGATTAAGTATTAGACTCACACCAGAATTACTAATACTATCCATTAAAAAATATACAATTCAATTTTCATTGAATTATCTATTCGTTTCATTCAAACATAATATTGATAAGTTCTTTTCAAACAAAGAAATGATTTTAAATCAACGAAATATGACGACATCTGTATTCGTTTGATTAGTCGTTGTCATAGTATTTGTTGCGTATAATGGCGAGAGAAATTCATTGTATAGAATTTTTATTTTTATTTATTAAATTAATAAAATGAGTGCACCTCGAACACCAACAAAATCCGGAGGTTCAAAAGGAAGTGAATCGAGAAATTCTCGAGGTTCAATTGGTCAAGTTGATACACCGCCTTTAGGTAGTGGTCAACGTCGTAGTGTTGTTGGTTCTCAACTTGGTTCACCAGGTGTTCGATCAGGTGTTGGAAGTGTTGCTTCACCTTTAGGAACACGCGATAAACTTAATTCAGCTTCTAATAAACAAAATGCAGCCAGTCCCATACCACGTATAGATATTTTGTTTAAAAAAAATAAAAGAAAAAGAATTTCAAATCTTTAATTTTAATGTATATTGTTTTTAGCGGCTAGATCAGCTACGGAACGAGTCGAAATCGCTGAAAATGCTCAATGTAAGAAAGATGACTTCATTGGGAAATGTGATTATGATTGTTTTTCTTCTTTGTAGTTTTACCACCTGGTATTCATTCAATTTTTATATCATCAGCAACTCAACAAGCAATGCAATTATGTGTTGATGAAGATTTAACACAAGAAAATAATACAAAAATGATTGATAAAGAAATTCTTTTAAATGACATACAAACTAATGGACAAGGTTCAAATTTTTATGAATTTCAACAACAAATACAGGTTTTGTAATATTTATATTTGTACAATATTAATTATGTTTTATTATTATTAGAGTTGTTCTGAAAATGAAATAGCTATTATTTATGATTATGATTATTTTTATTCACAAAATTTTCGTATGTAAAAATGTTTATTAAATTATTGTTAATGATTTTATTTTGCTTTTTGTTCCTTTTTTAGTTATCTGTTTTGATCCAAAACTAAAGAAACTTATCGAAAATGTAAGTAATAACTTGCTTATAATTATCATATATGAGAACCATTTGAATTTATAATATACAGTAGAGAAAAATTTTCAACCTTGTACGATATCCAAATTTATAATTAAATAAAATGTTGAAAATTTGAAATGAATTTTTTTTTCGTTATTTTTCAATCAAGAAAAATTGAAGTTTCATCTTCTATTCTGACATACAGAATGAGGTATATATAACACTACGATAAAAATTAAAATACCTTCACTTTGCTTCGCTCAAATGAGCTGATTTTTTTGTTAGTGGTAAAAACTGATTTAAAACCTTCTCCTTTCCCGGCTATCTCAAGAACGTTTCGCTCAAAAATTATGAAGCTGTCAGGGTAGATAGATCTCGACTAATGGAGTAAAAGTTTTTATAGACTCAAACTTTCTAAATGCTTCCTTTTGTGAGATAGAGGAGACGCAAAAGCCGAAAATGATCTGAAGTTTTTCCCTCCTGCTTCCCCGAAATAGCCAGAATTCATTTTTATGGCTCAATTTTCTTTTGTAATGATTAGGGTCGAATTGCGTGTATATTTTTTTCTTTCACACCAAAACATTATCTTAAAAAAAGAGACTTACATCCCTATTCGATCCTAGTCATAATACAAAAACTTTCAGCTTAATCAGTCTAAGAATCTGGACAAATAAGGAGGAAAACTTCGATTTTTCTGTTCAATAATTGATTTTGAGAGAAATACTGAACAATATACACTTTTCACTATTTTCGTTACATCATAAATTTGATTTTACTCGAATTTCTTAAAATTAAAAGACTATTCTTGAGTCCTAAAATGTACTTAGTCTATAGATACTACACTACTTTAAACTATACAATGACCATAAAATACGAAAAATGAAAAAAGGTATTTCGAGTCACGAAAGAAAAGTGTCCTTAAAGTTTTTTTTTCATATGAATAACGTTAACAAATACTTTAGTCAAGTTATATTTTTGATTTCACTAACGAAATGTCACCTATTTTCAAGCAAGAATAATACATATGAAGAATTTCATAGATAACTTCTTATTATTCTCTGAGAGAATAATAAGAAGTCAAAATGAACTTTATATATGATACTAGATTGATGCACAGAAAGCAAATTTAGGTTGGTGCCCAAAGAACTGTCATGGGACACGAATTTCAACATCCAAATTGACTAATTTTAAACACTTGCTCTATTTAAATTAATATAGTATCATTTATAAAGTTGGTTCTGATTTCTTCTGATAATTCTTTTCGATGACAACTTAAAAATTATCTATGAAACACTTTATATCTATTTTTTTTATGACAGTGGTATATGCTTACTTTTTCCGCATGATAAAGTTTCATAAATTTTTACCAGCAATCAAAAAGTCAGTCTAATGAAGCAAACCGAAGCGAAAATACGTTCATTTGTCATCATAGTGCTATGTATAGCTCGCTTTATATGCATCACAGATTATTCTTATTTGAAAATATCAAATTTTTTATAGCCACCTGTTACATTACCAATACAAGAATCCGATGAAGTTGAACAATATGTTCCACCTGTACCTAAAAAATGGATATCACTTGGAAGTGAAGTGGAAATTGAAAGTGAACGTTTAATTCTTAATCGACCATTGGTAAGAAAATATATCAATAAGTGAATAAAAAACAAAAATCATATTTTTATTTATGTAATAGAAACGTTTTAAAATAAAAGTTCCAGCTCGTACATCAACAACATTAACACCAAATGAAAAATTTAACGATGTTGATCCTGATATTGATCGTAAAAAGAATTTTGTTAGCATTGAACAATATGACGATAAACAATTTGATTTAAGAAAAATGGAACTTGATCTTGCTATTCAGGTTTTATTAATTTATTTTCTCTTAACTAGGTTTTTTTAAATAAGAATTTGAAAATGAATAGGCAGCACCTGAATATCGTGAAAATTCTTCACAAACAATTTGGCGTTATCCAAAAAATCAATGGACTCAATATGAAGCGCGTGCATTTACTGAAGATGAAAAAGCAAAATCTATGACTGATCCAGAATTAATAAATATGATTGTAAATTCAAAAGACTTGTAATAATGATTTATAATATCAAATAAATAAAATAATAATTATTTTTTTAAAAATCTCATTAAGATTTAAAGAAGCACTTCAACAAAATATTATTCATGATCCATTTTATCTTGATTGGAATGAACTTGGTGGTAATCTTGATGGTTTAGGTGGTCCAGGTGATTCACATCTTAAAGTAGGTTTATTTATTAGTAGAAATTTCATTTTTTGATTTTATTTTTATTTTTTAAAAAGGAATATCAATCATTTTCATCTATAAAACAATCTCGAGATAAAGTTGTTACTTGTATTCAATGGCATCCAACATTACGAGGTATTTTTGTTTTTCTCTTTTTCTTTTTAAATAAAAAGAGATTTTATATAATAAAGGTATAATTGCTGTATCACTTGCTGCTGGGCAAGGCTTTGACGAACGAACAGATAATCTTAGCCGAATGACTACATCACCATCATTAATTCTTATTTGGTCATTTGTTGATCCAATTCAACCAAAAGTATTTATTTATTTATCATTCAATTTGATATCATTTTGTTTTCTCTTTTATAGTTATATTTAGAAGCACCAGACGATATTCAATGTTTTCAATTTTCACCTACAGATCCACATGTCATTGCTGGTGGTTGTGTTAATGGACAAATTGTAATGTGGGATATAAAAGAACATGAAGAACGTATTAAAAATCCACGTGGTGATCATCGTGATAAAGATTTATTTATTGTAAAATATAGACGAATTTTAAATAACATAAAAAAACCTTTTGTTTTGTGGTATAGCCTGGTTTTGAAGATGAAAGTTTTTTTCAAACGCCACATATTCGCTTTTGTGCTGTATCAAGTATCGAACATGGTCATTCAGAACCTATTACAGATCTTCAATGGATACCTGATCATTATCAAGTTTAAAGAATGAAAATTTGATTTCTTATACATATTTATAAATATTAATTTCAGGTAACAGTACAAGGTTTACCAACAGAAAATCTTGCAATGAATTGTTCTCAAATAATGACATGTGCATTTGATAAGTAAAGATATTTTGATAGTTCTTTTTCTTTTTATTAGGATATAGTTATTATTTTCATTTTTGTTTTTAGTCAAGTACTTTTCTGGGAAACACGAGTACCACGTACTGGTGTTAAAGCATTATCAAAAAAAGAGCGAGAAATTATTAATCCAATGGGTGTTCCATTAACATTTAAACATTTAGATCTTATTTGGAAACCATTTCTTCGTGTAAATAGACGAAATTTTTCATTTTCTCTTACGAGGAAACTATCCCCACTGTAATTCACCGTTTGAGCTCATATTAGGTTTAAAGGGAGGCCTTCGTAAGACTAGAAGATTCCAAAAGAGTTCGTGCTCATGAGCCTCTAAAGCCGAATTATGAATGTTTTATTGAATTTTCGATCCAGCTTTAGGAATTTTACCAAAAAATCAAATAATAGTAATTCGATCTGAAATTTCGCCCATAAACAGGTCGAATGACTATAGTAGAATATACTGAAAATTTCTATCGAAAGAATGTTGCTTTGTCGAAATGTTGAATTTCCAAAAAAATGATCGGTTGCCATACAAATCGAGTTTACCTGAAAATTCAATATCTCAACAAAAAAACATTCTTTCCGATTGCAACTTTTAAGGTATTCTACTAGTCATTCGACTTGTTCATGAATGAAAATTCAGATTGAAATACTATGATTTGATTTTTCGGTAAATTTCTACAGTTGCATCGAAAATTCAGTAAAACGGTCATAGCTTGACTCCAAAAAACCGTGAACACGAACGTTTCATGATATATCTAGTCTTACCGAGACTTCTTTGTTAACTCAAGATGAGCTCAAACACAATGTATCAGTTCGGGTAGTTTCTTTGTTAG